GGACATTGAAAGTTGGTTATTACATGGGGAAAAAGCATTCACCACCATATATTACACTTTTTCGGTCATATTGTTTCCGCCTTTTCCGAAGGTAGTTATAATGGCGCCATACCCCCTGACCTGCACCCGTTCTCTTTAAAAATTGACCAATTAGCCCTTAAAAGGTTAGAAGAGCTTGTAATCTATTTTCAAACCCTAAAAATAATCTAGAAAAGGACATCAACCTAGTTGTTAGGGTCTACACAAACTCTTTTGATATTCTAATCATGAATATGAAGGTTGATAATTATTGAATCATCCTCATGGGGCATGATTCCCATGACATCTTTGTTGGAAAAATTGATTTTCGACAAGGGGGCTTCACTCTCAATGGGTTTCATATTGGAAAATTGTATCACTTGTCAAATATCTTGCAAAGTCTCTGACAATCATATTTAACATGTGGTATGTTCAGTCGAAATCGTTAACTGCCTTAGTACTTCAGCTCCTTCGTGGCTAAGGAGTTCTCCAAATATATTATTTTTTTGAGGAGAGGTTCTTGTTCTTGAACTTTAGGTATCTCCCTATACAAATCTCTATAAGAGACCTCCTTGAATAAACTTTTCAATTTCTCGCTTTAGATGTTGGTAGTCGTCGGTATGATGACCATGTATCTTGTGATGCTTGCACCATTTATCCATTTTGCTTCTCATGGAATCTCTTATGGTGGTGAGGGGTTCATGAACTATCTTGGTATGATAGACATCTTGAAGGATTTACTCCCTCATTGTGTTTAGTGGGATGAAGTGTTTTAGTAGGCTTTGATCGGGTTTGAAGATAGCTTTCTCGCGAACCAATATTATGCTCTGATTCTTCTGTTGTCCCATCATATTGAATTTTCCACTAACTCAATATTTTTACATCCCTAGTTATTTTCTCTACATTACTTTCTCTCCTTTAATATAATACTCAACTCTGGCCATGATCTCCTTTATTGAAGATGTCAAATTTTGCGCTAGGGACTCGTTAAAGTTTCCTACTTTAAGGTTATTCTAGAAGGTCTATACAAACATTTATTAGTTCAGATGGGCTACCTTGATGATTTTTTTTTTCCATTAAACTCAACCAAGTATTCTCACAATGACTCTGAATGACCTAGATGAACATTAAAAAAGCTCGTGGTTGAGACTTTTCAATGTTTGTTGGTTGAAAACTGATTAATAATACTTTTTTGTTAGGTCCTGGTAACCCGTTATTAAGAACCTTGAGATGTTCATATACCATCAGAGGGTTGCTTCCTTCTAATGTTCTTGCCATCAGTTTGCATTTAAGGGAGTCAGTTGCCCCAATGGTGACCATTTGTGTGTTAATGGTGAGGACATGCTCCTAAGAATCACTCTTTCCATTGAACGTCGCCAATGGAGAAAACTTGAAAGTGTCAGGGACTTGGGCATCCTATATCTCAGTTGTTAAAGGTTGAGGATCCATGGAATCTTCATGCTCATTGCCTATTGGTTATGGTTAGTGTTGGTGTGGACCATATACATTGTCTTGTAAGGTGTCATTTTGGAGACACAACTCCTTTATAGTGGCAAACATCTCCGATATGTCGGCTTGGTCTTTGTTATTGTTGTTACTGATGGTTGCTCTTATCATTATGGGACAATAAGGGATTTATGTTTGTATATGATTATGTGGCCAAGCTAGTTTTACTAGATCCCACGATAAGCACTAAATGTATACGTAAAATGCACTAATTGATAACTCTAACAACACGGGGCCAATTATACTCGCAAGTATGATCATATATGTCATATGAAATATGTCTTCTTTTTTCATTGATGGTTGTTAGTATATATATGATCTCACATGTCATACGTCTATAAAATAAATTGATTAACCATTAAGACTTAAGTTGTCTATATTAATCTAATTAATTAGAACCAAGTCTCTTACTTCTTTGTCTGAGGTCAACCATTTATGTCTGCTTTTACTCCTTGGATGCTCTGCTTGTATGTTAGTACCTAAGTAAAAAGTAAGGTATGTTGGTATGAACCGCATAGCTTGACTTGATCCATTACGTTGAACAAGCTTGGGCTTGCCCTATGGGATGATTTAAAACTAATACGAGCTTTATCGATTTTGAGTTAAGATCTGACCCAATTTATCGGACAGATACACTCTCTTTCAAGCATGAGGTTTGTAAGAGCGAGATGTTTTAAGTAAGAGGTTGAATTGTACATAGTCCTTCAAGAATGAGGCTTGCAAAAGCAAAATGTTTTAAGTGCGAGACCGGATTATATAGAACCTCTCAAGCATGAGGTCTGGAAGAGCAAAATGCTTTAAGTGAAAAACCTAATTGTATACAATTCGTCAAGCATGAGATACGCAAGAGCAAAATGCTTTAAGTGAGAGACTTAATTATATACAATTACTCGAGCATAAGATCTGCAAAGACAAAATACTTTAAATGAGACCAAATTATATACAATCACTCAATCATAAAATCTCTGCAAACACGAAATATTTTACATGAGACACCATATTATATATTATAAAAAATTTCTATGATCAACATTTAAAATTCTTAAGAATCAAATTGATATTTTACATATTTATGATCAAATATACCATCATATATACTTTTAATCAACATCAATAAAAATACCAATTTTTTTGTTAAAATAATTAAAATATGAATTTAAATTTAAGTAAATAGTTAAATTGATTCTCATAATATACGTATAGATATGAAATGAATGAAATAGATATGAAAAACTCACATCACATCATTCACAAACAACTTATGGCGTCGCACGTGTTAATGCCCAACTTAAACCAAAGAGGAAATTCACATAAACAAAAAAATCAAATCAAATCAAAACCAAAATCGAATATTATTATTAGTATTTTCCAATATCATCAACAACAACAACTAATAACGTTGTTTCTTCGTTCCTCTTTCTCTTCATTCTTTTTCTTCTTCCAACATTCTTAAAACACACAAAACACAAATTTCAAACCCTTCACTCAGAACATTCTAGAATTCTTCTAAACCTAACACTGTCGAATTCTTCCTTTTGCCACCTCAACCATAGCTAGGGTTTCGATTCCGTGAAGGTAAAATCAAACTCCACTCTTTCTTCTCTCTTTCTACCTCAATTTTATTTTCACTTTTTTTGTTCTTCATCTTTTTCTTCCTGATTTGCGTTTCTCTTACACATCTCAGCTTTTTCATTGTGATTTTTTTGTTGATTGTTAACTTCATTCCTTTTTACATTTCGATACAACAATGATTTTTGGTTTTGTTTTTTTAGGGTTTTTATTATCTTCTATTATACATCAAATTTAGGGTTTTGTAATTGCTATTATTTCCCCCTTTTACATAATAATTTATGTTACTCTTGGTTGAAAATTAAGATTGCTGTTAGGTTTAATTTTTATGTGCTTTGTAGTTTTGAATTTGTTCTTAATCAGGATTTGTTTGTTAGGTTTAATTTTAGTTAAATTATTGCAATTTTGTTTGGGATTATGGTTTTGAATTTGATTCTGATTTGGCTGTTGTAATATTGATTCAGTGATCTTGATTGGAAAGTTACCACCTTTTTATTATTTAATTGTGACTTGATACCTGCTCTTGAAGTGATTGTTAATCTTATTTCTGATAAATTTAGGTTTAGTTTTTTGGGTTGATCTGTAGGTTTAGTTATCTTTGTCACACTCATCAACATTGGACTTGATTTTTCCATTGTTTGATATTTCCTTGAATTGGTTTTTATCCTTGAACTGATACTGAAAACAATTCTAGACTGATCTTTCAAACTTGTGCCCATTAATTCCACTCTTATTGATCCAAATCTGTTTAAAAACTATAAAACGGAATAAAAATAAGTTACAAAATAGAGAATCTTGGGATGGGAGGGAGTAGAATTCTACATTCAATTGAAATAAATGTCATTAATGTTTATATTTGTTGATTAGACTTAAGATTCTGCAGTTGAGATCCTTGATAATCAATTTTGTCTTAGATATCTAAATGCTTCTCTGCTGTCACTGTAAAAGGCTGGTTTTGAGATTTTTTTGTGAGTAGAATTATATAGATTTGAATTTGAAGTATCCATGTACTTACATTTTATCTTCTGAGAACTCGATTTTCTCTTTAGAAAGTATAACTAATTTACGCTATAACAGGTTGCATCCAAATGCCAGTTAGTACCGTTACCATTTAAAGAAAGACTCGTAGAAAACTATATTATATATCGTGCCAGAGTTTCTGATGTTAGTAAATGATTTTCATTAGTGAATCTGCAAGTATTTGTAGTTGACAATTTTTATAAATAACTCCTCTTTTGTCTATTGCTTCAAAACAAAGAAAGGCATTGATCATGTAGGCTTATGGACTAGGTTCCAGGGGAAGTGTTTGTTTCATATTTTAGATATGCTATAGGATGGGAGTAATTTGTTAGGTCTGGACATTGAAATGCTTTTCTTATTTTTTATCTTGTTTTATGGCCATTATCCTTCACTTTGAATCATTTTCTGTTTTATTCTACGATACTTTAATTGAAGACCTTCTGTAGCTTTAGTTATGGTTTACCCTTTGTTATTTACTACTTTATGTTATTTATGGTGTCTTTAGACTATCATCAATGCTATCTGTCCTGGGTCTTATTGTTGTCGATGGCGGATGGCTCTCCATTGCAGAGAGCCAAAATCCTGCCATACCAGCCGCTTTGCTGTGCCATTATAGTGGATTATGGCGGAAAATTCTGCAATGTCAGACGATATTTACCTTTGCGGCGAGCCCAAAAACTGCCATGTATACATCCACCACAGCACTGCCATGGTGGATGAGTGACAACATCGGTCTTTTGTATTAAGTAGAGTGATACAAAATTTGTGTATCTATTCTTTAAATGATATTTTTCACTTAAATTCCAAAAATTTATTTATGCAGGAAAAAGTTCTCCAGTGTAACAAAAGGACAGCTTCACACATTGAGAAAGCTTATGTGAGACAATATGACTCTCGGAGATTTCTTTACGTTGACTGAGATAAAAGACGGTCTCACAGCGCCTTCTCGAGTGCAGGAGTTGATCGCTATTATGAAGAAGGATCAAGACAGTGTTGTGAAAAGCACTGGTGATGCAATGAGACAGTGGGCTTCTGTTGCAAGCACTATTGCTGCTACAGAGAATAAAGATTGCCTTGATCTTTTTATCCGATTAGATGGACTGTGGTTCATTAATAGATGGTTAAGTGATGCTCAAAAAGTTGGTGCTGATACAAATGATGTCTTCATTGAAGAGTCAATTTCTGCAATGTTAGGAGCAGTTGAAAAGCTATTTCTAGACAGCGGGAAGACAATTTCATCAGAAATTTGGGCCACTGCAAGTAACCTGCTTGTTCATCACAGCTCTAAGGTTCAAGATAAAGCAAGATTACTGTTTGATAAGTGGAAAGGAGTGGGAAATGGAGATGCTGAATCTCATGATATGGATACTGGTCAAAGAAGTCATATGAGCGATAAGAATATCAAGGTGGAAGGCCAGTTGACTTCAGTGAACGGGGCTAGTAATGACAATGACCACATGTCGCGACTTGAAGAGGGTATGAAGTCTATATTGAGAAGCTCAGATACTCAGATACCAGATAAGGTTGCTAATGTAAAAAAAGAGAGTTCTGACAGTGTGCACCAATCCTCTGTAAGTTTGAATTCTGAAGATATCAAAGAGAGATCAAACCATCTTGTTACTGTTCAAGAAAATGCTCCTGTAGATGAAGGTGAGTTGACATCGGCTGGGATCTCTAACTTACCTGTACTGAAAGAAGGAGGTTTCAGAGAACAACCAGATGAGTTGCAGTTAAATGACTTATCCATGAAGGAGAAGCAAGAACTAAATGATAGTGGCCCTCCAGAAAAATTAGAAGCACCGATAAATCCAATACCAGAACCTGTTTCTGTTGTGTCTTTTGAAGCACCAGTTAAGTCTGTGCCTGCACCGGTAAGGCCTGAATCTCCTTTGGAACATAATGCTAAAAGGAATGAAGATGGTATGTGTGATAAAGTAATAGTTCCTTGTATCACTAGAACACCTGACTCTGATAGAATGAGTGTGGTGGATGATGCCAGACCCACAAATTCTAGCAATACGCAGCCATCCAAAGCGTCGGTAAAGGAAGAAAGCAAGAGCCAAGTTTCTAGTCAAGGTGAGGAGATCTCAAACAGCACTGATTCTTTTAAGCAAAGAAGAGATCCCACAAGCCCCAACCTTATTGACAAGAGTTCTGACATGGAAGTTGATAAAGAATATGCTACATCTGTAAAGGAAGACGAGGTCCAAGTTTCTGATCAAGATGATGATACCTCAAATAGTTCAGGTTCCTTAAAACAGAACGAAGGTTCCAGAAGCCCTAACTTTGTTAACAAGACTTCTGACCTTGAACTTGACTATGGTATTGTTGATGCTTTACAAGTTGCCCGACAGGTGGCTCAGGAAATCGAGAGAGAAGTCAATGATGCTTCTTCAGAGAAAATCTCAGAAGCTGGCAGCCCAGATTCTGTTGGCAAAAATGATGACCTTGCTTCTGCCTTACCCGAGGAGGTGTCATCCAGACAAAGCAACTCTGCTGAAGCATGTCCTGAGGAGAGGTGTATTAGTGTTTCAGAGGATATCGTGGTTGAGCCAGAATGCCTTCCTGACTTGGAGTCATCACAGTTGACTGAAGCAGCTCAAGATCCAGGAGGTAATTCAGAGAAAAGCCTTTGCACCTTTGATCTTAATGAAGAATACGGTTTTGATGATATGAATGTTTTTGCAAATACCATATCCGCGACACCAATACCTGTTGTCTCTGCTTCAAAACCTGCACAGACTTCAGGATTGCCAACAGCCCCGTTACAGTTTGAAGGAACACTTGGATGGAAAGGGTCAGCTGCCACCAGTGCCTTTCGTCCTGCATCACCACGTAAGAATTCTGATAATCAGAAGAATGTTGCTGCTGGTGGGAACTCTGGTATTTCAAAACAGAGGCATGGTTTTCTGGATTTTGATCTGAATGAGGCTGGGGGTGAAGAAGAATTGGTAAAACAAATTGGTGAATCTTCAGGCCTGCCTTCTGGGCAATCATCAGTGGAACATAGCCCTAAAAGATTTAAGAGGTTAGAACTAGACTTGAACAGTATCGGTGATGACGGTGATGCTCAACCTTCGGATCAGAGGATGGAGGGGCAACTCTTTTTCGGAAGAAATGGCTATTGGAGCCCATCACCTGCATCATCATCGTCGTCAATGCAGCCTTCAGTTCGAAACATTGATTTGAATGATAGACCATATTTTCAAACTGATTTGGTGGACCAAGGACCTTCAAAATCATCTTCAAGTATTGAAGCATATGGACTTTCCAAATCAGATGCCCCTGCAATATCTATAATGGGTGCCAAGGTGGAAGTCGGCAGAAGAGAACATGTTCCTCAGTTTTGGTCTTTGCCAAATGGCAAGGCTGTTGAGCCTGCAATAGATCTTACAATGATGCCAGGAGCAGCTGGCGTTTCAGGGATGGGCCCTGCGGTATCATACAATCATTCATCTTATTTGGGATATAACGGACTGACATCAATGCCCCCTTTGTCTTTCTCGCCAGCCGCATATGGTTCAGGTGGTACAATTCCCTACATGGTGGACTCAAGAGGAGCTCCGATTGTGCCTCAAGTTGGGGGATCTTCCTCAACTGTTCTGTCATCTTACTCTCAGCCCCCATATATGATGAGTATGAACGGTACACAACTTGGTTTAAATGGTGTTGGACCTTCCCGTCCCAGCTTTGATCTTAATTCTGGCTTCTTGATCGATGGTGGGAATAGAGACACGTTAACTGCAAGGCCGTTTTTCTTTCCTGGTCAGAGCAGAGCTATGGAGGATAGGACCCTTCAACAATCCTCAAGTTCAGGGGTTGGTGGGAAAAGAAAAGAACCAGATGGTAGTTGCTGGGAAACCTACCCGTTTGAATACAAACATCAGCAACCACCGTGGAAGTAGCTCTAATATATGTTTTTGTCTCTTCTGATCTGTTTGTTCATAGCTATAGCCTATCAATTGAAGCTTATATTATAGCCAATCCATTGAAATCCCTTATTAAGAGAAGAACAAGAACCAATAAAGAGGTGAAGGGTGATGGATGTTATATGATTCATATATTTATTGGCAAAGGAAGAAATTTAGGCTTTATTTCTGTTTTTTTTTCTTCTTTTCTTTTCCTGCATTTTCATAGAAAGCCAGCACAGGCATAGAAAGCTTGTCATATGTAGCTGTAATTTGTGTTTCATGTCAAAGAAATTATAGGCATAGTATCATGTTTATCACCCACCATCAGTGGAACTTGAGTACATGGCCACAAATTTAGTTGATTTTAGTGAGTTTTCATCATCAAAGCAATAACCTGTAAAGAGAAAGCTTTTTGTTCAAAACTTTTATATAAAATACAACCTAACTTGAGACAAATTATTCTGGACAATTCATGATCTTAGATATGCTTTGGTTTCATATCCAATCAATTATTGTTACCCCAAGTTTTCCCTATCACTACTTAGTTGGTTAAAAGGGTCAAAGTTGTGCGGAAGCAGTGTAAAAAACTTTGATTATGATGAGTTTCAAAATACCCTTAAAAAATTTGTAGCATTTAATAAAAGCACCAATTCAAAAACTCTAATTACTCATTACGTTGAGTTTCAAATTTGAAGTATACTTTTAGAATAACGTGCCTTTATGAAAATGATGGTATAAAATGCATTATTACATTCTAAACTTATTCTAGTGATTTGAAGAAAAATATAAGTAATTTTATCATAAATTTAATGCAGTTTAAATTTAAAATAAACAATAGAACTCCTTTCGGTTCAATATGTTTCATTAGGCTTTTTCTGTTGAGTAGATCCATGGCCAAAAAATAAAATTACAGATAAGAGAATTTTTTAATGTATTTTTGGATGGATCTTAAGTCAATAAAAATTTAATTTAGTGTGAAAAAATTCTGGATATATATTTTTATAAACATTACGAAGATGTATCTCTAAATGTTGTTCATACATAATGCGTTTTGGGTATTTTTGTAATTTATTTAATTTGTGTTGTTTTGATCGGTTACGGAGATGTATTTTCAAATCAATAAATATTTTAAATTGATCTTTTAAAGTGGGATGCATAAATGTGTTTTGAAGTATTTCAGAAATGCATATTTGAACTTGGGTTTACAAAATACATCGGTGTAACTAAGTGGAATGTATGATATGTTTTGAAATATTTCGGAAATACATCTATGAAACAGTTGTAACGTTTTGACTTAAGATAGCGATGAATTTCTAAAATCTGATAAATATTTTAAATTTTTTATATTGTGTTTTTTTATTTATAAAAATTTTCTGCTAAGTTAATGTTTACCATTTGCGCAAAAAAACTTAAATATCACTCAACAGTAGAATATATCATTTATTTTAGTCTCTAAATTATTATCCCATCTCAAAATTAGAGTCTAGATTATAAAAGTGTTCTGGACTGGGCTAGAACCTGTCCATCAGTTGGGCAGGCCCAACCCAATACTACGTTGGAAAGGCCCAATCTTTCTGCGTCGGGCATGAGCCACATATGTCGGGCAAACGACTTCTTTAACGGGCAGACACGTTCTCCACGTGCTCCCCCAGCCGGGGACACTTCATCAGGAAACTATCCACCTCTGAAAGAGCTGGTCAATCCACCTTCCGAAGATCACGGGGCAGTTGATCTAGGGCGAAGACCACGTGCTGATCTTCACTACGCCACGTAAGTCCTAGCAGTTACTTGGGTTGGGCCTGCCAGTCTGGCCCAATGTAAGTAATCATTGGCCCTGCACTGAAGTCTCTCTATAAATATCCTCTTTCACCAGAGGGTCAGGTATTCCATTCTACACCTACTTCTGCATTTTCTCTCCCACTCTGGTCCTTTACTTACTTAGGCATCAAAGTGCCTTGCAAGTACACCCCTTTCCTCCTCCCTATCTCCGGTGGAAGTTACCAATCAACGACGTGTGGCAGACCAGTGATCCTTTCTGATCAGGTACGATCAATGGCGTCGTCTGTGGGAACCTAAAGCTTTCACATTCTTCCGAGCAGTAGAACCAAAGCTTTCATCAACTTTTCCGCCTTCGACCCGCTCACCAACGGTGAAGACCATGGTGGGCCGTCAACAACCATGACGGTGACGTTAGGGATGGGCAGACTGCCTCTCCTTCATCCGACGACACGCAACGTCACCCCTCGAGCAAGGAGCCCAGCCATTTTCCATCCTGTCCCCACACCAGCAGGGGCAAATTTGATGATGAATGCCCTCTTTGCAGCCATCAACCAGACTAATTTGATGTTGTTCCAACAGAACGAGCGTATTGGGATGCTAGAACAGGATCACTCATCTCGCTCTCCCCCGCAGAGAACCTAGTGCGAGGATTCCCAGAGCCCCTCTCCCCGTCAACGAGGTCCCCGGTCACAATTGAAGAGGCCCCAAACCGTAGCCTCCAAGAAACATGACAGGTCACCTCCCCGAAAGGATCGGCGCTCCTCGACCCCAAAAAAGAGCAGACCTAATGGCCCGATTAAGAGGACGAAGGGTCGCGGTTAAGTACCTCGACACAACCCTTCCCCCTCATGCTTCCCCGTCCGAAGTGACGATAACAGTCACCGGACTCCCTTGTCGCGGGAGATCATGGAGACCCCCATCCCCCACAGGATGGAGGAGCCGGTCGCCCTCTCCACCTATGATGGCACGACGGACCCAAACGACCATCTGGAAGACATCGAAGCCATGCTCGACTACCGAAACGTCCAGGGAGCCATCAAATGTAGGTTCTTCCCAACGACTATGAGAAAGGGAGCCATGGCGTGGTACAAGAGCCTAGAGCCCGAATCCATCACCTCGTGGAGGATGCTGAAAGATCTCTTCTCACAATATTTCACGACATCCCGGCGCCATCCAAAGACGGAAGCTACCCTGGGCGCGATCATCCAAGTCAGGGACTAATCTCTTAGGAATTACATCGAGATTCACCACAGAGGAAGTCCATGTAACCACTTCCGACGACATGAAGTGTTACGTCATGGAGCAAGGGCTGTGCCGAGGCTCCAAGTTCGTCGAGGCCGTCGCAATCCAACGGCCAACCACCTTCCAAGGCTTCCTCGAAAAAGCCCGGACATACATCCGGTTCGAGGATACCGAGGCTGCCAATTCCATCTGAGACTCTCGGAACCGCGAAGCTGCTCGTGGCGCACGGGAAGAAGAAGCACCAACCCCCCGACACGGGGGAGATCGACGACGAGATGATCGCCCCCGGGAACCCCGAGATTAGAGGAGCCCCGCAAGCCGTTTCATTGAGTATACGGCCCTCATCGCTTCCCGCGAGTACATCCTGGCCGAGTGCGCCAATTTAGAGTTCGTAAGGGGAGGCGTCTGTTTCCCAAAACTGACACCTCCCAAAGCCAACGTGGACAAGTCCATGTACTTCCGTTTCCACCGTGGCCACGGACATGTCACTGAGGATTGCATCCATCTCAAGGATGCGATCAAGATACTGACGTTCTGCCTAAGATTGCATCCATCACTGTACAACTACATCTTAGGCAGAACGACCCTGGCAGACCTCACCGCAGTGTTATCAATAGTCCACCTTAAGATGAAGTATTACACTAGGCGGGGAGGTGTCGTCACCCTCAACGACGACATAGAGGCAACCCGACGATGTTTTGAAGCAGCAATGAAGGGTCTCATCACGATCGGCCCCTCTACCAAGGCGATCAAGAAGTCTCCACCCATCCAAGAGCACAATCCAAAAGACCACGTCGATTCTGTGGACCTCGACAGCCGCTTCCCCAGCGAACAGGACCACGAAGAAGAAGCCGAGCACGCTCCTCCAACGGTTAACGGGAAGCCTTCGCACCCAATACGCCCCATTCTAGAAGGGGACTTTGAGCTCGTAGCCCTGGGCAAGGATACAACCAGGAACGTGAAGATTGGGGCTGGACCGCCCGACCTGGCGAAGAAGCAGCTGAAGGCCTGCCTCCGTGAGAACGTCGACCTCTTCGCCTGGAGTGCCGCCGAGATGCCCGGTCTTGACCCCGGGGCCGCCTGTCGTCAGCTCTTCATTGAACCAGCCGCGAAGGCCGTAGTACAATGTAGACGTAGGCAATCCCCCAAAAAGTCGGTGGTTGCTGAAAAAGCTGTAAATGACCTCCTAGAAGCAAATTTTATTTCGGATGCCCGGTATTCAACCTGGATGTCCAACGTTGTATTAGTAAAAAAGAATAATGGAAAATGGAGGATGTGCATTGACTATACGGATCTCAACCGGGCATGTCCCAAGGACACTTATCCCCTCCCCAACATCGACAAGCTCGTCGACAACTCGGCGGGATTTAATTGTTGTCCTTCATGGACACATATTCGGGATACAATCAGATCCTCATGGACGAGGCCGATAAACAGATCACGACCTTCATGACCGAGTCAGGCAACTATTACTACAATGTAATGTCCTTCGGTCTGAAGAACGCCGGCGCCACCTATCAACGGATGGTGAACAAGGTCTTCTGGGGAGAGATTGGCGACATGATAGAAGTTTACATGGACGACATGATCGTCAAATTGCGCACCGAGGTCAACCACACGATCCACCTCAAGAAGGTCTTCGAAACAGCAAGAAATTATAGGATGTGATTTAACCCAGAGAAGTGCACCTTCGGTGTACGGGCAGGGAAGTTCCTCGAATTCTACTTGACCGAACGAGGGATCGAGGCGAACCCGGACAAATGTCGAGCTTTCTCCAAGTTTGTAATGCCGAGCTCGAAGAAGTCAATCCAGTCGTTGAATGGGATGCTCGCCTCGCTATCCCGGTTCGTCGCCAAATCCGCACAACATGCCTTTCCGTTTTTTAGACTATTAAGGAATGAGGCCACGTTCGAATGGACGGAAGAATGCAAGCAGGCTCTTCTCCATCTCAAGTGTGTCCTCTCGGAACCTCC